CCACATGCTTGCCTTCTGCCAGCAGGGCGGCCCCAGACGGTGCCGCATACTCTTCCTCGGCCTTGGCGGTGGGGGAGGGCGTGCTGCCGCCGTCGCTGCGCGGGCTCTCGCTGTGCAGCGCCTCCAGCAGGCCTGAGGGGATGGGGAGAAGCAAGCAGGGCGCGGGGGGTGGGCATGGTTGGGAGGCGCGGCCTGCTGTGGGGGCATGCTGGACCGGCTGCGGGGTGCGTGCGTCTGCCCACCTCCCATGGCCCGTGCCGCAGCCCCCCGCATCCCAGCGCCTCCATTGCGCGCAGTGCAGCAGTCATGTCCGAACGCTGCGACGCGCTGCGGTCGCCTGGCGCGCCCACCTGGCGGCAGCGGGTCGGGCGCGTTGTCGTCGGGCTCAAACCGCTCCAGCAGCTGGCACACACGGTGCAGCGGCAGGCCGGGCACCACCTCGCGCCGCATCTGGGGGTCAGCCAGCACCTGCGGGAGAGGGGCGGCGCAGGGCGCTGTGGTTGACGATTGGTGGTTCTGGTAGGGCGGGGGCTGGATGCGTGTGGGTGGGTGGGGAGGCGAGGAGGCACCCCGGCGACCGCAGCGCTCTCAGGCGGCCGTGCCCCCACGGCCCTCCCGCTACTGCGCGCCTGCTTGGGCATCATCAGCAGGTCTGCTGTGGCACGCAGGCAGGGGAACAGGCGGTAGTCACTCATCTCTGTGCTGCGTCCAGCCTGCAGGGAGGGTCGGCGGTGGTCGCGGGCAGGCGGCGGTGGTGGTGTGTGGGCACAGGGCGCAAGGGAATGCCGCTCGGCAAGGTTCGCCAGGCCGGCAGCGCTGCCGCGCAGGCAGCCCACGCAGGCAGGCAGCGGCATGCATGAGCAGCGGGCAGCGAGCGCTCGCCGGCGCCGCACGCCGCGCCCGCGTGCCTGCGGCATCCGCTCCTCCTTCACCCCGCAGTCTGCCGCCCAGCTGTTGAGCCGGCTGACCGCCATCTTCAGGCTCACGCCGGTGCCAAAGGTGAGTGCCCCCCTGCGAAGGCGGCAGGCAGGTGGGGGAGAGAGTCGGGGGAGGGAGGCAGGGAGGCCAGCTCAGCGGCCCCTTGATCCGTCGAGCAGGTGAAGCGCCTGCAGCAGCACCACACCACCACGACCTGCAGGCCAAACCCAGTCACCCACCCGCACACACACGCTCCCAAATAAAACCCAAACCCAGCTCCCGCCCCTCACCTGGCAAAGGGCAGCAGCGCGGGCTCCAGCAGGCCCACCGCCGCCGCGTCGCCGCCGCCCCCCAGCACCTCGTCGGCCTCTGCGCCGCGTGAAAAGGCGTCGCGCCCCCCCATGCTGGGCAGGCGCAGCGGCAGCCCCTCCCCCTCATCCACCAGCAGCTTCCTGCAGGGCAGCGGGGGCGGCAGGCGCAGCCGAGCGCAGCTTGCGCAGCGCACGCAGCGCGCCGGCTCCCGGCCTGCCGGCCGCGCACCGCTCCTGCCCACCTCTCCCAGACCTCAGTCATGCCCAGCGCACCGCCACCAGCACACCCCACACATGCGCACCTGAACAGCAGCGTGTCCAGGCGGCGCAGCACGGCCACGATGAGCTGGCGGTGCAGGAGTGCCAGGTGGGCGCGGGGGGCGGGGGCGGGGCGGTACGGCTCCCGTACCGCCTGCTCCACAGCGCCCAGCCCCTGCACCCACAGCTCCAGCGCCTCCTCCTGCACACCAGGCACCGCAGTGAGGTACCAGTGCCATGAGGTACCAGTGCATTGTTGACGTACCAGTGCATTGCTGAGGTACCGGTGCAAAATTGAGGTACCAGTGCATGAATGGGGTGCCAGTGCAGGCTGCGGACGCCGACTAGCAGCGAGGAGTGTGCGGCAGCCTGGCAGCACTGCGCTCGTCGCACCAGGCTCCACCCCG